GAAAGCCAGTGCTGGTTCCCTGATGCTGGGGGGAGGGAAAGCACCAAGCCTCTTCTAGAAGATTCCCCCGTCTGTCTGTTGTGACTACTGCAGATGAAAACACTTCAGTTATAAAAAACATCACATGGTGTGGGTGGAAGCCCATCCTCCATTCAGAATTAAACAAGGACTTCTAATGAGTTACCCAGAAAGGCCCTATGCCGGACACCCGTGCTCCCTTTTGCTTCACTGCCCTCAAAGCACTTACCGCCATGCAGGCAGACATCTGAACTATTAACTAACATGGTGCTTCAGAATGGATTAATGGGTGAATGGATTTTAAACGTCAGAAGGGGCCGTTATGATTATCAGTGGCAAAATAGTGGCTTGAGAATTTCACCCAGTGCTTCTGTTATCCAGCTCAATAAGGTGGTTGATGACAAGTTTATCTTTTAGAAAAAAAGACACCAAATTTAGATTTAAAGACTTCAAGTAATGAGAATCTATAATAAGCCTTTGTATTCTGGGCCAATTACTAATTAATTTCACTGTTAAAACAGCACATTTATTTCCAATTTAATAATTGTTGACTTTAACTTCTAGGCATTGGCTCTTCTTACAATGAGACAGAGACCTTTAAATAGGTTTAATTAAACTTTGTATTTCTTGATATTAATGATCCTTTTATCCATTACTGTTTATATTTTACATAACAAAAGCAATGGTCCAGATTCTGAACTCAGTTACACCAAGGTAAATCTATAATAAACTCATTGCCCCATTTCTATCTTTGCCCCCAGTGATTTCAATTTTACATTGGTATGACTGAGACCAGCTTCTGCCCCAAATACACAGATATAAACCATGCAGATCCATGGGAGAGCAACAGTTCAGATTTTCCATGCTCTTCACAGGTCTTCTGCTTTATTGTGTTGAAATTCTGAGCAGCTCAATATGGAGAGATTCAGCTGTGGAGTGCAACACTTGGAGGAACAAATGAAAAAGATCTGGAAGTGTTTTAAATATCTGAACCAAGCTCTGCACATTGCTTGTCTGATATGTGATTGGCTAATGATTCTATGATGTCAAGAAGGAGCGGCTGACTGAGGTATCGCAGGTTTGGCAACTTGGAGACCTTCAGGGAGAACAAAAACAAACAGAAAAACACACAGAAAAGGAAAAAAAATTAAAATCTTAGTTTAAATATTATGGTTTAATCCCAACTGACTCCTACAAGCCCTACAATGGTTGAAATCTAGTGATGTTCCACTGTATGGATGATGTCATGTTGCTAATAAAATGACAAACACACAGAACCAGGCTGCAAACTCCATGAAAATCACAACTATTTTCCATATAAAATAATAATTGTCCTCCCTTGAGTTCTAGTTTTAGATTGCTTTTGGTGCAGGATGGAGTTGAGGATATATCAGGAAATCTGAACCCATCATTAGCTCTCCTTGAGAGTGAGAATAATTATTCATAACAATGATTCCATAATTAATATACAGAATGCAAATTAGTGCAGGCTAAAACTTATCTAGTTTTGAAATTCATGCCCTTTGGATCTGAATGTCAGCAGAAATACATTGGAATTGGCAGCTAAGGGTTTATTCAAATTATCTACTCTGTTCTGCTGTGCCCTGAGAATTAGCTCAAAGCACTGCTTTATTTAGTACCCATAGGAGGTGGGAAGGGGGCAGCTGCCCCAAGGCCTAGTGATTTAAAAGGGCCCAGGGCTCCCAGCTGCCACCTTGGCAGCTGCAGTAGCCGGAGTCCCAGGCCCTTTAGATCACTGTGGGAGCCCCTGGCAGCAGGTGCCCTGTGGCCCCAGTGGTGCTGAAGGGCTGGCTGAGGGAGGCTAGCCCCTAGCAAAGTCCCTTCCACTGAGGCCCTACCCCTTCTGTGGGGCCAGAGCTGGCTCTTCCCAGGGCCTGGAGAAGTCTCTCATCAACCCTGTGCACATGGTATTTTTGCCTAGATCTTTCAAGCAGTAAGATGCCATAAGAACCAAATATCAACATGGCCTTAGCTAACTAATTACTCTATAACAATGGTATATTTTCTGCCAGCATCAGGCTGAATGGAGACTTCACACAAATCCAAGTTTTATTTGAGCAGACATTTTCTGATCTTGAGAAACATCCCTATATTTAAAGACCAATAAATAGAGACTATTTAGAAATCTTTTTAATTGCTTAATATTTCCTCCTATTTGTGTAGGTCTAGAGTCTGTAGTGAAGAAACAATGGCATTTTGTGCATCTAGATAACAGTGAAATGAAGACGACGAATCAGGTCACTTCTGGAAAGAAATCAATACAGAGAGTTATATGTTCAAAATAAGGACAATGTACAGGCAATGGAAGGATAGATCCCATTAACAATAGTGGAAATTAGGCACCTATTATGAGGACCCAGATATTGCATTGATAGGCACTGATAGGCTTAAGACCAAGGGCAAAGACACAGAACCATGTCAGAATACAAACAAAAATAGAGTTTTATTAGGCATTACAACGATCTAGTCAGCTCTCCAGTTAACAGTCTTTTCCTCTCTGGTATTCTGAATGGGTAGCAGCACCCCTTAAACAGACAACAGAGCTGAAGGAGACTGTAATGGTCTCACATTCATATCATGCTGGGAAAAAAGTTACATACCAGACCTTCTCAAACACAACATAAACAAACATGACAGCATTTGTATTCCTTGACCATTACAGGTAGTTTAGCACTCAGTGTTTCAATGACAATTTGATGGGACTGTACTAAAATCAGACCATTTCAATGTACAAAACCAGAATTAAAAGGAAAAAAAAGCAATAATGACAGAAATTTAACAAAATGTCAGAGCACAAATGTTTTCTGAAATATGGCATGTGACAAATCTCCCCTCCATGCTTTATGAAATGGACTTATGGATATGAATTCACGTAACTGAAAGGTACTTTGAGCGAATTATTTCATGTAATCCATCAATCTTCATGTCACGATCCGCTGGTTCTGTTTATCTTACTTTGATATATGTATCGTGTGTGTGTAAAATTAGACACATGGAGTGGGGAATACTTTGTGGGTTTCAAATGTGTGAATGAGAGACATGAAAGGTGTTACCCTCAAAGTCTTGATGAGCAACTATTAAACAATCTCTTTTGTTCTTAAGTCTGAGCAGTGGTTGGTAGGGAGTGGCTCAATTCCTTAACAAAAAGAATAGGAAAGCAGAGGCCTTAGTCTTTTGGCTGGGCTTCACCTGAAGGAAAGGAGCTGAAGACCCCGGGGGGAGGGGGGGGGGGGGGGCGGGGGGGGGGGGGGGGAGACAGCCCTGATTTGGAGGGGCAGCTGGAAAAGAGGTTTTAGGGTGAGTTTGAAGAGTTTGTACTGAGGTTTCAGTGTCAAATTAGCCAAGCATTTTTTTTCTTTTGATTTGTAACCTACTTTGCTCTGCCTGTTCTTGCTTATTACCACTTAAATGTTACTGCTTCTACTTTATAAAATCTTTTTTATTTTCTATCAAACTCTGTAAATAATTGTTATGGGGGGGCAGCCAGTGTGCACATTCCCCCTTTCATTGTTAAAGATGGCTTACTCTTATCTAATTCTTTGGGGTTTGATCCCATCTGTGGAGTGGTATCCCAGGAAGCTGGGCCCTAAACTGCACTCTCCTTGGATCTGAAGAGGTTCAGTGTCTGTACTGCTTCTCGGTGGGGGCAGAGACCTCAGCTCAGGGCCTTGACTGGGGGAGACCAGTAAAGCTGGCCCAGCAGGACCAGGTGGTAAGGAGCCCCAGAGAGCGGGAAGGTGAGTGACAGTGGCTGTGTCAGCACCCCAGAAGGCACCCCCAAGGGTTTGCCTGTGACTGCACCCTGGGTATGTCTACACCACAGAGCTTTTTTGGACAAATGGCTGTTTTCCCGAAAAATATTCAATTACGTCCACACTGCAATCGCGTTCTTCCGAAAGAAAATCAAAAGAACAGAGGGTTTTTTCCAACATTGGTAACCCTCTTTCTACGAGGAAGAAGCCTTTTTCCGAAAGACCTCTTTCAGAAAAAGGCATGTGTGGACAGGGAAGAGGGAGTTCTTTTGAAAGAATAGGAAAGAGAAAAAAGCACAGGTGCTCGGGTGGCCACTCAGTCCATAGTAATCACAGCTTAAATGCGAGATAGCATCCACACTGAATGGATGCTATCTTTTGGAAAAGCAGATCAGTTTTTCTATGAGCTTTGGCAGTGTGGATGCTCTCTTTCGGAAGAAGTTTTTTCAGAAGATCTCTTCCAGAAAAGCTTCTTCCAAAAGAAGCTTCCAGTCTAGACACAGCCCCTGTCATATGGCATATTGCTCATTTTTCTTGCCTTACTTCAACATTGCACTTAATTTTCAAGTTACTTGGTACTGATCAGGTCTATCACAAGGAAGTCCAGAACAGAGCCCTGAGAATCTGCTTTCTATCCATTTTGTATCTGTCAACTATGTTTGCAGCTTGGGCATGGGACGCAGATACAAATTTGTATCCATTCAGAACTCTAGTCAAGACTAACCGAAGTGTTGGAGCATAATGTGACATGCATCTGGCAAAGTGGATCCTTGCCCACGAAAGCTTATGCTCCAACACTTCGGTTAGTCTATAAGGCGCCACAGGACTCCTCGCAGCTTTTGGAGATTCAGACTAACACGGCTCCCCCTCTGATACTAGTCAAGACTGTGAAACTGCATTCAAATAAGGCATTTTGCACAGAAGTGAATGAAGCTGGAAAAACACTCTCTGGCTGACAGAGCCCAGGTGCATAATCTCATTTCCAAATGGAAATGCTGAACATGGAATGCTGAAACCATTGGGTTACTTCTATCATAGACTACATCCTTCCAGATTCTTTAATATTCCTGTATTCTTTTCAGATGTCGCACATTTTAAATATGATTTGAATGTAGTAGTCAAGTGTCATATTTGTCTTCTAAAACTAACGAGTATTCTTGCGGTACCTTAGTGACTACAAAAATATATATATTTAGGATCATGAGCTTTCGTACATAAAACTCACTTCATCAGATGAGTTGGAATGGAAATAACAGAATCCAAGATATGTATAGCAACAAAAAGCATTTACCTGTCAATTGTAGGACCTGTGTCTATGAAGCTGATTAAGTGGGTCAGATGTGTCCCATTCATAGCTTTTGATGTGGAAATGCAAATGTTAAAGGCAGGGGAATTTGGGAAAACTGGCTTTGTAGTGTGTTAACCAGTTAATGTCTCTATTCAAGCCCAGGGTAACAGTGTCAAATCTGCAAATGAATTCCAACTCCACATTCTCTCTCTCTCTAATTAGCTAGTGAAATTCCTTTGTAGAAGAATGGCTACTTTTAAATTCATGACTGAGTGTCCAGGCAGGTTAAAATCTTCTTCTACAGGTTTATGTGTGTTACCATTCCTGATGTCTTTTGTTGTTTCCTGATGTAGTTCAGTTTTTTGAATGGGAAGAATTCAACGATGATAGAAACAAATGCCCCCTATTTTGTGCCTGGGAGTAGCTAGGTAGGTATACAAGCAAGGTACACTTAGTGGATGGGAAAGATAGCCTAAATGTTAGGTGCCAGACCCATGTTCAGCTTCCTGTTTAGCTAAACAGGGAGATATATTTGGAACCAGGCTGTGCAAGGCCTTAACAAGAATACAAAGCACATGGCTTTGCTGTAGAAATGGAGAGGAAAGCTAGCCAAAGGATGAGGGGCTTGATGCTATCAGAATGGCAGACAAGGAAGGCATTTTAAATAGAGTTGGGCACAAGGAAAGCCAGGAAGGATGCTGCTGCAGAAGTTAAGATGAGAGATGACAGTAGCAAAAATGGAACCCCATGGATTTCAAGCTGGGAATGGAGAGGGATGAAAAGGTTTTAGAGATGTTCTGATGCAATCTAGCAGGATGTAACATGAGGGATGAAATACTGCAACAGATAGAGAAAAGAGAAAGCAACCTTAACAGCAAAGGGAGGGAGAAGGGAAGGCTTCGGGAGCAAGGGAAGGAATTCAGTTTTCATTATGCTGATTTTGCTGACAGCTGGAGATTAAGGAAGGGATGTCAGAGAGGCAAACAGAAATAATTACTAGGCAGAGAGGAGAAATGAATTTGTGAACTTTCACCAGAGAGGCAACAGCAGAAATTGTGTAACCAGATAAAATTGTACAGGGTGCGAGAAGAGAAGAGGAAAGAGCCAAGAATGTAGCCCTGAGAGATCCTGAAAGATAGACCAAGTCCACAAAGTAGCCACTGAAAGAGAAGTTGGAGGTATAAGGAAAGATTCAGAAGAGCAACAAATCCAAGGCTTGCCTACGAGGGTCAATTGCACCAGTTAAGGTAAATTAGTGCAAACCCATCTGTGGACACTCTTGTTCCACTTTATTAGTGTCTCATTTTGGATGAACTAAGATAGTTTCTATTCAGTTTATTAACATTAAAAATCACTCCTAAACTGAATAGTGTCCATATCAGGTTAACTGAATCTACTGAAATTCACACCATCTGTTAAAATGGAGCAACTTTCACATGTAAACAAGCCCTATAAAACCAAGGAAGGAGACTGATTAGCAGAGACCATTAACTCTGCTGATCCATTAAGAATGAGGAGGAGATAGGAGTGGTTTTGGGATATGGCCAAGAAAAGGTCATCAGTGATCTTGCTGAGGACATCCAATGGAGGCATAGACACTAGATTGTGGGGATTAAGGCTGAAGATGTGCTTCAGCAACAAAAGGAAGGAGGGAGATGGAACAGCAGCAGGAGGAGAAATGCAAGAGGGAATCCAGGATGTTTAACAATAAAGAAGATGGCATGTTGGAAATAAAGATAATGGGGAGGTGGAAGGATGAGGTTAGTGAGGAAGATTTATCCTCGAGAAAAGAGTTGATGAAAGGTGGAAAGTGTGGGTTACAGAAAGAAAGCAGGAGACAGACTGATTAGCTGAAGACTTGGATGCAAGAAGAGATGGTGCAGGATGGGAACAAATGGCAGAGGGAAAAGCGGAAGCTCATGCTCAATTTAGTCTGATCTCTCCTTAAAAAAAGAATGACAAAATCTTCAGTGGAGAAGGGAAGTGAGTGCAAGACTAGACTTGAAGGCAGAGAGGAATTAGTGCAGTTATACAGGTACTTCAATTCTAACTCCTGTTTTCATTTGCTCATACCTTTCTAAAATGTTCACCTGTCAGGCCCAGGTCTGCTCTACCTCTGGGTGGTTGGGGTTCTTTGTCGGGACAATGTATTGAGTAAAGGGATTCCCAGATAAGGGACCTCGTATCATATGACACCAACTGACAACTGAGAACAGAGGATCTGAATTTCAGTCTTCGGACATTTTATACAATCATCCATATTTCAGTTTCACAAACTTGGAGGCTGCAGGAGATCCAGCCAGAACATGATACGTTTTATATCACGTAATAATATTACCACTGTCACAGAGGCAATACTTCTTTCACCAGAAAATGGAGCATTACATTTATGATGGCCAGAAAGAGAAGTTTGTACGTTCAGTGCATGTCAAGCATATCTTATCACATACATCAGAACCAAGCACTGGTCTGGCACAGAAGGACTAATGTCTCAGAAAGAAAAGGACAAAGAAGAACGGGAATTTTGAATATCTGTTTTGTTTTGGCAAGTCTTCATGTCTCCAAAATCTGCTCTTTCAGATAGCAAAAGCAAAAGAAAACCAGGTATTGTCCCCATTATGCCTGTCAGTAACAACACCCAGTTATGAGCAAAGCAAGCTATCTGCGAAGCAAGAAAAATTAAATGAGAGCTCAGATTAAGTTGCTCTCTGCCATGGTAGTGACAGAGGACAGCAGATTCCCATAAACCCAGAAAGTATCCAACCAACCTTGGTAAACTGGTGAACAATGATATGAAGGCAGTGCTTCTTCATGTCCAGAGCCTGCGTCTTGTCAGCTGCCTCTAAAATCTGGAGCAGAACAAAATTAAGACTCTCTTCTCTTTCTCCTTTGTTCTGATAAAAGTAACTCACAGACAAATGCTGATTTTATGCATAGGTCATTTCCCTATACTTGAGGTTACCATCAACTTTCCATTCTGAACTAAATTTAGGCCCTTTTCTAAATTCTTCAAAGATAACTCTTTGTATCTGAATGTTGTTATGGAAATCAGGAGGTGACTCAGGGTATGCATAGAGCCACATTGTCTCAGATACCAGAATGAGACTGGTGCAGGCAAATGAAAAGCTATAACCAAGACTGCAGGTGTGAAGCGGTCAACATAAGAGAGGGCACCGTTAACCTTATACCGACTGAAGATTCCTGCTATCAGGGATATTCTTAGTTGCTTGGACTTTGGCGCTTATGTACCACCTGGGCAGCAAAAAATGAGCAGGACCAAGACAGAGGATATGATTCACGATCTTTAGGAAAAAAAAGTTTACATATGGTAACTGTTGTTCATTGAAAGTTGCATCTATACATTCACATTTGTAGGTCTGATGCCCCCAAAAATGTGCTGACAGAACCTCTGCCAAACCAATGTCCATTAGGTCTGCATAAGCATCTCCCTACTAACACTGATATTCAACATCAAAGCCTACATAAGTCAGTCCAGTACCCAATTACCTCAGCTTCTCCTATACCAAAGTATGGTGAGAACTCTGAACAGAATGGGGACAGAAGTGTGAATGAAGAATGGTAACTCTCAAAGAACAACTGTTACCAATTTCTTCTAAATCCTCTGTGCATTCCTATTTGCAGGAGATTAGTAAGCAGTACCCACAGAGATGGAAGGTAAGCTGAGGAGTCTGCAGCTGAAGAGAGATTGTAGCACTACTTTCCCAGTCCCAGCATCCAAAAAGTAGGTCAAGATTAAGGAACAGGGCTTGCTAAGGTGCGAACCGGACTCTGAACGAGTGCTCTACAGAACTCCCTATTGGGTACCAGCTTGAACGTGCCACACAAATGGCTGAGATGCATAGCTGCAAGGGAACAGCAAAAATAAATGGACAAGGTAATCCACTTGGATAACCTGTGAGAGGAAATAACCTGTCCCGTGTACGCCATCCTTTATGCTAAATTAGCCCAATGCTATTGCAGAAGGGCTTAGTTTTGTTTGCACAGAAACAGTGTCCTTCTCACATCCAATGTCTGAAAATATGCATCCCCTCGGAGTAGTGTAAGTCTTGAGGAAGAAAACCTGAAAGGATAAAGACTGGTTAATTTGAAAATCCATCACTGTTTGAGCAATGACGTTTGGGTATGGATATAGGAATCCCTTGGCCTTGTGTGTAAAGCCACATCAGCATTAAATCTGAGATTCACTGACCCGCCAAGCTGACAGTGGCACTGAGCAAGACCTTTTCATCAGAGAGAGTCCACAAAGCAGTTCCCCAATGGTTCAGAGGTGGGACTCCCTGACCTTTGCTAGCATCTTGTGAAAGTCCCATGCAGGAAGAGTCTCCCCCACAAGACAAAGGTGTTAGCAAACCCTCTGACTGAATGTGTGATTGTGGGGGGCAGGAGGGGAGAAGGGGGACTGAATCCCCCCCAAACTGCACTAGACCCTTGCAGAGCTGACATACAGAACCTGCAGCCTGATGAACTTTTGGGGATGAATTGAATAGACTGGTCTCTTTTGGCAATGGTCTAGAAGGCAGGGGAGCACTCTACAACTGAACAATCTTTCTAGCCATTGCCAAAATGAAGCATATCTTCCACTGTGAACATAGCACATGTGACCATGGGTTTTTAGACTGAAGAATCTCACTCCTGCTAACAAGACAGTTCAAAATTGGTTCAGAAGCACAGAAGTCAGATGCAGGGATTCAATTTAAATGGAGAATTCTCTTTCAGTGTGGGACAGCCCATCAGAAGACAGCAGCACGCGACATAGTAGCTCAAGGCCTGATGCAAAAGCTTGGCATACCAGCATTCTGAGACACACTGGAGCAATAACAAGAGTTTTCACCCTCTCTCACAGGCTACGAGATACTGAGGGGAATGCATTGTTCTTTCTCCAGCCCAGAAGGAATGAGATCCTCAGAGACGCCTTCCTGACCATTACTGAACAGAAAAGATGACCCTTTCTGTCTTGATATCAAAGAATTTTAGCACTGATGTTCACCTGCAGAAGAGCTGGCAAGACAATAATGTTTCCAGAAAGACCATTCATGTTGGACTATTTGTTGTTTTTTTAAGGTTTTCCAGTTACAGACTAACTCGGCTACCTCTCTGAAGCATGTTGGTCTAGTCACTTTGGCCTGAATGCATGAAAGGAAGTAGGTGCCTAAGTCCCTATTTTAGGCACCTAATTCCTGGTTTCAGGACCACTGAGATGCACAACCCCCTGCCACACCTACAAGCACTGGAACTCACTTAGCGCAGGGGTATCCAAATGCCTAGTTCCTGTCTAAGTCCCATGAGCCTTGGCAAGGCTGCTGTTGCAAGGTTTCACAAATACCGTGAAATCTGTCCTCTCCCAGGAACATCTTGTCCACAATTTAGTCTCACGCAGGAAACTGAGGTTCTGACAAGGACATAGTTCAACATGTCCCTCTTGATTTTGAGCCCCAAAGTTTTTATTAAGCAGCAGGTCAGGACCAAAAAGGAGAAGAGCTCCTGCCATGATCTGACTTGGGGAGTCAGTTGTATAGATATCGTAAAATATATATTCCTCTTTTTGTCAGGTGACTTGCCAGGTGCTCAGTAAACACTTAGGGTATGTCTAGACTACATGGCTCCGTCGATGGAGCCATGTAGATGAGTTTACTAGACATAGCAAAATGAAGCGGAAATTTAAATAATTGCCGCTTCATTTACATCAAAATGGCTGCCACGCTGTGGTATACTGGAGCAGTCGACAAAGGCTTCCCTTGTTGACTGCGGCACGACTAGACTGCCCCGCTGTGCCGATCAGCTGATCGTCGGCACAGCGTGGCGGCCATTTTTATGTAAATGAAGCGGCGATTATTTAAATCCTGCTTCATTTTCCTATGTCTAGTAAACTCATCTAAATGGCTCCGTCAACGGAGCCATGTAGTCTAGACATACCCCTAGGGTACATCTAGACTGCAAGCTTCTTTCGAAAGAAGCTTTTTCGGAACTTCTTCCAAAAGAGAGCATCCACACTTCAAAAGTGCATTGAAATAGTGATCTGCTTTTTTGAAAGTCCACACACACTGGACACTCGCATGTCAGCTGTGATTACTATGGATGGAGTGGCCACCTGTGCTTTTTCCTGGAGGCCTCTCTTTCGAAAAAATTCCCTCTTTTGTGTTCACACGTGTCTTTTTCCGAGAGCGCTCTTTCGGAAAAAGCATTCTTCCTTGTAGAATGAGGTTTACCAATGTCGGAAAACCCCCTGATTCTTTCAATTTCCTTTCAAAAGAATGCAATGGCAGTGTGGATGTAAGTGAAGTTTTTTCAGGAAAACAAATGTTTTTCCAAAAAAAACCCTGCAGTCTAGACGCACCCTTAGAGATATTGGTAGGCTGATGGCAAACACTGTATTGTAAAAAGTTTTCTCCTATGCAAAATTTCATGCATTCCCTATGTGATAGCTTTATACTTGTAAAAGTAGGTGTCCTTCAAACCAAGAATCACATATCAGGGCTTCTCTATATAAGCACTAATTTGCACCAAGCTGGGGTGAAAACATAGCCCATGCTAGCATGCTGCACACCAAGTGTCTATAGGGATCCTGCTGCTACATACTAGAAGTTCCCTAGTTCACTTTAATCTATTCCTGTTTCAAAGTGGGATAGATCAAAGTGTACTAAGGAACTTTCGGTGCACAGCAGCATTCTTACAAATATTTAGTGAGTGGAACAACTTGTGCAGGGTAGGTATTCACTCCAGTTTGCCGAGAACTCATAAGAACCTAAGAACGGCCGTACTGGGTCAGACCAAAGGTCCATCTAGCCCAGTGTCCTGTCTGCCGACAGTGGCCAGCACCAGGTGCCCCAGAGAGGGTGGACCGAAGACAATGATCAAGCGATTTGTCTCCTGCCATCCCTCTCCAGCCTCTGACAAACAGAGGCCAGGGACACTCAATGTTCATGTAGGTAAGATGTCATTTTCTTTGGAATAGGGATGCAATGATGATCTCATAGTTAGCATCCTCATTTTGAAGGTTCTAATTAGGACTGTCAAGGAATTAAAATACTTAACATGATTAATAGTGCTGTTAATAGACTATCATTGAATAGAGACCTCAGGAGGTCATCAAGTCCAGCCCCCTGCCCAAGGCAGGACTGATCCCAACTAAATCAACCCAGCCAGGACTTGGTCAAGCTGAGACTTAAAAACTTCTAGAGATGGAGATTCCACCACTTCCCTAGGTAACCCATTCCAGCGCTTCACCACCCTCCTAGTGAAATAGTTTTTCCTAATATCCAATCTAGACCATTTATTTAAATGAATTTTTTTTACATGTTCAAATATACTGATTTCAATTACAACACAGAATACAAAATGCACAATGCTTGCTTTATTTTTTATTATAAATATTTCCACTGTAAAAAACAAAAGAAATAGTATTTTGCAAATCTCCCCAACCCCTACTACAGGTACTGTAGTGGAGTCTTTAAGCTGAACTTACAAATGTAGAATTATGTATAAAAAATAACTGCATTCAAAAATAAAACCATGTAAAACTCTAGAGTCTACATGTCTACTCAGTCCTACTTTTTGTTCAGTCAATTGTTCAGACAAACAAGGTTTGGTTACAATTTGCAGGAGATAATGCTGCTCACTTCTTGTTTACGTCACCTGAATGTGAGAACAGGTGTTTGCAAGGCACTGATGTCTGGCATTTCAAGATATTTACATGCCAGATGTGGAATGGTGGCTGAGGCATGAAGGGGCATATGAATGTTTAGCAGATCTGGAACATAAATACTTTGCAATGCAAGCTACAAAAGTGCCATGCAAATTCCTGTTCTTACTTTTAGATGGCACTGTAAAT